AGCAGTAGGAGTAGTAGTAGTAGTAGCAGTAGCAGTAGCAGTAGCAGTAGCAGTAGGAGTAGTAGTAGTAGTACTAGTAGTAGTAGTAGTAGTAGTAGTAGTACTAGTACTAGTACTAGTACTAGTACTAGAATAGCATCGGCCTCTCAGTGACAACAAAGTGCAGTTTTTTCAATGATGACAGCAGCAGCACATGAAGTTAATAGCAACAAAAACGTTGTGCTGATGCTTGTTTCCACTACAACTATCCCGACTATTCCTGACGTTTCTATTCCGTGTCTTGACGTCGTGATTGCAATCGAGCCGGCAGGCAGACTACTGTCTGATTCACGCCGTGGAGCGCAGCGAGTGCCCCTCAGCACCACTGAGATGTCTTGCATGGCACTCGTCTCGTTGCAGAGGAACCCGCTGCCTCGCAGCAAAGGTGGTGGCCGATGCTCTTAGGATTTGCGATGCAGAGCGCATGACACATTAAAACAACAAACGACCCTATGAAGCGTGCAGTATTTGGATAGCTTCCGACGACGATACGGTGATGCTTCGTGATATCAGAAACTATCGAGAAGCCATCGTTGTGGTTGCTACCAGGGCTCACCCGCTCTTAGAACACTCGGGTTCGCTGCGGCTCCGAGATCCAAGCAGGCGTATGACAGCTGCACCGCAATGTCCGCCCACACACGCACTGCCTGTCACGTGCACCTGACCTGTGCTGTAACGGTCCCGCACCACCAGCCTGAAAGAATCAACGAAGTACCTCCAGAGAAGGGGCCGTGTGAAGGCACGATGGACCTTAGAAGGAACATATTGTCGTTAGTAGTGTTGCTTCCATCGGGAGTACGTTTACGGTGTGTTGGGGTCACACTTTGTCGTCACCGTTCCCAATCAAACTGAAGATGTAGCCAGCAGGAGCAACATTTGTGCAGCACGATTGATACCATGTTTGGCTTCATCACGGATAGCCACGACACGCACCATTCTCAACCATATGAATGCCTGCACAACCAATACAAGCAGCACAAAAAACACTAGCACTGCCAGTAGTGCTGCCACAGCCTCTGCCACCACACCACCGCTACCACAACCAAGATCTCATCTTCATCATGACCATTGGCGTCATCACTGTCATCATCGTCATCGCCGTCGTCACTACGTTCACAACTCCCATGCAGAAGAAGCTCGGGAACCGACTGTCGGGCCATTTTGAAATCAGGGCTGTTCTTTACCGCTTTTGGCGAACCTGGAGTTGAAGAATTGAAGAGTCAAGGGCCCCGACATCACGAACGGTGTCATGTCCAGGAGAGGCGAGACGACCGCCTGCTTGGTGCGCATCCTCGGGGCTTCGAGCAACCAAAAGCCCATTTAAATGCGGAGAACAATGCTGATATAACTACGGCCATGACTAGCATGACGATAAGCGATACTGCACGTAGCACAAGAACCGTGAATAACCATACATGACATGCCACTCATAGCATCTTGAAACAACAGCGGCAACAACAACCACCACCACAATTCCAATTGAACGCTGCGCGAGCGTGCTCTGCGCGTGGCAGGCATATTGCCTGACCTGTACTCGTGTGAAACATAGATAAGCAAGCTGACGCAGTACTCAAACTGGAAGCATTGGCGAGTGACTCAGGCTGTGCCTGCGCTGTGCCAACAATGGGTCATCGACGGTGGCGTGCCTGGTTCCCGGAGTGGTACCATTGCTCTTGATCAGAGGTCGGGTCCGCCTCTGTTTCTTCTTCGAAGTCCTGATGCCAGTCCCAAGAGCTCCAGGACCACTGGCTCCTCGCACTTAGGCATAGCCATGCTGCAAAGAAAGTCGAAAACTGCTATGTTTGAGTCTGCGATGGACCTGCGCGTGAGCGTGACACGCTTGGCCTTGACGTGGGGCGGACAGCGCTTGCTTATTGCCCACTGCGGTCTAGGCAAGCATGGGCCAGCGCCCATCTTATTGTGAAGCAAAGTCAGCTTACCCGAACTCCTATGTGCGCTTGAATCAATCAATGCGTATTGGAAAGAGCATGTATGCATCCGAGGCGACTCCCGCCTCTTCGGATGCGCTGGCCTACCAAAGCCGGGGATAGTCGTCAAAGAACCAGACCTGGTCTTGATGACTGGCTGGATCGTCCTGCGCGTGCTTCCAAAAGGCCTGAGAGTGTCCCGAATCTATGTGAGGGCCTGGTTGTGAACCACTCTTCAGCATGCTCGTTTGAACGAGTTCTTGCGCGGAGAAGGAAAACTCTGCGAGTGTACTGGAAGCAACGCCATCCGCTGTTTTCGCTACGATGTGGCTCTCTGCACTGCGCGGAAAGTGGAAACCCTACCGCCTCCCCAGTGTGGCAATGTCCTAGTCTTAGACAGAGACTGGGTCCAGGAACTGGGACCTAACGGATGCAGACCGGCTCAGCAAAAGTGGCACATGGCTCAAAAACCAACTCACCTGACGGTAAGGACCTCGAGAAAGTTGGAGCCCAAAGCCTGTTCGAAAGCCGTGCGAGCTACCCTGCCAGTCTGATCCGTGGCGGCTACCACCACCACAACAACAACCACCACAACAACCACAGCAACCACAACAACCACAACAACCACAACCACATCACAATCACAAAAACAAACACAGCCACAAAAAATGAGAATAACAACAAGAAGAAAAACAATACGAATGATAAGAAGAACAAACAAAGAGCAAGAAGAGGAACAAGAAGTAGAAGTAGAAGAAGAACGACAACAAAACACGCTCCAGACATTCCTCCTCCTCCTGCAGCTGCCGCTGCCACTGCCACCACAGCAACCACTACCAGTACCACCAAACCCACTGCTCCACAGGAGCGTGACAGAGTCGCTCATCTTCGGAATTCGCAGCCCCGCCCCGAAGAGTTCAAAGATCCGAAGATCAATCAAGGGGCTTCGCCGGAAGAAGTTGGACACCTGCGATGCAAAACAAACCTAACACGACTCAAGGTGCATTGGCTGTGTTATCGCGAGTTTCCTGGGCCTTGGAAAGGTGTGTTCTTGAATCTGGACGATTATTTTCATGGCCTGTGGGAGGGGAGATTGACATGGCAAAACGTCCCCTTGGTGCCAAGACTCATGCTGCTGAAAGAATGCCTAGTTAGGACACCCAACCTTCGATCACCACCTGCAACTGGATGTAGGGGAGAATGCACATTCCGTACTCTACAAAGACAACGTGACAGCTGCAGCCAATTAAGGCACACAAGGAAAGACCCGACGAGGCGGAGAGGGACCACCTTGTCCCGCCCTAGAACCCCAAACCCCTGGAAGCCCCAAGCCGTCCTGCCTGGAGTCAAAGAGCGGAGCCTTCCCAGCTGAAGAGGAACAGGTGCAGGCGATAAGATCTCCACCTTCCAAAGCCTGAGGTGTTGGCGTTTAGATGTTAGGACTGTGGGTTTAGGGTTCAGGTTGCGTGATGCGTTCAGGGTTTTGGGATACGTACAGGCCTCCAAGACCGTCCGTGACACGGTACGAGTTCGTGTTACCGGATCGGGATTGCAGGAATCGAACAGGGGAAGCCGCCATATGGGAATCGATCTTTTTGTTTCGCAAATGCCTTGCGACTCGCTATGGAGGAGACCTCTCCTTGTCAAATGGGCTCGCTGCAACTTTTTTTCTTGGCATATATCTGCAGTCCAGGCGCCCTGAAGGAAGTGCCAGTGAAGCCACGGAACTCCTGGCGCAGCCCACTGTCGAGCAGTCTCAGAGTAGGCGAAGATCATAGAGTTCGCAATGGGGAGCATCATGCAATGCGGCTACAACTACCCTGTGAGGTCGGGGCGTTGTCGGCGAGGAGTGCAGGAGCATTTGGATTCTAGTTTAGCTGCAGGAGCTCTCGAAATTCACGAGCTGTTCACATGAATGCGAAGCAGAATTATATAGCCCCCGGCTCAGCCCATGAAATCTCAGAGCTATAGGGGAGCGTCGGAGCCCACTCCGCAGTTAAACTCCCTGGGACTGCTGGGCTAGGCAGCACAAGCTTTCGCTCCATGTCATGGCAGCTTCGCCATCGCTGAGGAAGGTCATCTCATCCTTGCTGAGGCATACACAGCTGTCAGCGCCGCAGCCGGCAGAAATCGCGTCAAGGCAACAGAACATCATAGGCGATTTCTTGATATCGCTAGGCCAGGGGTTTGAGAAGCTTCAACACAGCACACCTGGCACATGTGCAGACGAAGCGGCCGACAGATCTGGCACCGAAGGCATGTCACCTTGCTACGAGACTTTACTACCAGAATCTCACAGCACAAAGAAGTAGATGAAGAAAAACGAGTTTTGGCTGCCGGACAAGGCACTCAGCATTGAAGAATTGATCTGGAGCGTCACTGACTGCAGTGGCCAATGCTCGTCAGGCAAGACTGCTGCCTGCCAGACATGTCGACTGATCTAGTCTAGAGGACTCGGCGATGCTACGACTGAACCCTCCAAGCTGTGCAAAGTGCAACCTTACTGAGCCTTCCAACTCTGAAAGTCTTACCTCGATCTGAAACTGCGGGCTGTCGGTCACTGCAGCAGCCACGGTCAGCCAGAAACTGATGGAGCCTCACCACAGCTTCGAGCTCTCCAGACAGGGCTATGCGGCTATACGAAGCTTCTGGATCTTTGGAGGACTAGGCTGCTCATCTCAAAGCCATACATCAACGTGCTGAGAAGCTCATCCTTTGTTACTCCAACGAAATCCCAGATGCAACAGAGGGCGCGCATGAGGGGCGAGCTCAGAGCTGCAGAGGTGTAGTGTGTGTGACAGTCGGGACAAACAAAGGTTGGCTCTGCGGCTATCAGCCCAGGTTGTGACATTATCCGGAAGATTGCCACTCAAGCGCTGGAGCCGTGCCAGGCTCTAAACGTGGTTCGGGAGTTGGGTTCAGGAGACTAACAGCACCAAGCAGAAAGCCGCCTCTGGGCGAAAGCTGCAGCTGGCCAGCACCCACTGCTTTGGCATCCAGAACGAGATGTTCCAGGGGTGCCTGGAACCAGCAAACTCTATAGTCAGGAGCATGGCGTCGAATTCACGCCATGCCATGAGGGGTTTTCAAGGCTCAGTCTTGAGACGAGTTTGGAGCAGGCAGATCGGTCTCGTCCCGACTTCCTCGTTGGCCTCTCGAATCGCGGGGCTGAGAGGCTGCTGTACACACGCCCGGCTGCATTATCGAACCATGAACCGTGATTCCAAGCTTTGTCAGTTTTAGGCATAGGGATGGGAGGCCCAAAGAAGAAGGAGATATGCCTCACTCGCCCTCCTTTTCTATACCAGCTTAGACATACCTGCTGGCACATTTCGAAGACCACCAGGTTTCGAAGGACACGGCTTTGGGTGTCTTCGCCTCTGTGGCCATCAACCCACGGGCCACAGGGCGCACGGGCCATGCCCTGTTGTTCCTCCTCGTCGTAGTTGCCCACGTCACCGACAGATTCATCAGAGTCTCGGCCGTCACCGTCACCATCGTTTGGGGATTTGGGGATGAGAAAAGAAACGTCAGAGAAGATGATCATGGTGACGATGGCGGGAGATGGTGATGGTTTACCATGGTGCTGTGACAAGCAGGAGGCAGATGAGCTGGAGGCAGAAGAGAGGGTGACAGTGCTGCCAGCCAGTGAAGACAGTGGAGCGGAAGACACATCCTGAAACAATTCTTGCATGTATAGAACAGTTGTGAGCCTGCACCTGCTGCTCGGATAAACAACTCTGTACCTTCCTAAGAAAGGACACCACGGCGTAGCCTCGTCTGCTACTGCGACTGCCGGGGCTGCATTGGACACGGTGACCTGCTGACACTGCGCCGGAAGAAGCAAATGCTGCAGGTTGACAGACTAAACTGCGGGAAAGGAGAAAACTTGCCGGAGAGATGGACAGTGTGACGATTGCGCTGCCCCGGCCTATCATCACTGAAACATCTACACAAGCCATCGCCCTTCGAGCAGGACTATGTTCGACGCAGGCTGAATCGGTGGAGCCACACTAGAGTTGCAAAGACAGCTAGCTTGAGCAGTGGCTTCTGTTCGGCCACTTCTCGCAAAAATGGGCAAGGCGGTGCAAGTCCACAGCCACAGCGGGGCCTCCACAGGACATCCCATGGGCGGCTTCACGATCACATGGCCCCTCATGGAGATCTCCCGCACCCGGCAGCCTCCTGGAGTCGGTCTTTTCCGTCGCAATGGTCTTTTTTTTGCATATCTTCATATCTCCTGTCTCCGGTGTTCGTCCCCTTTGGTACTTGTATTGGGCCCTCTTGATATCGTTAGCATCGCGAGTCAACTACGCCGGGCTTGTGCCGCAGGCTTCGTTTGGCATGATTCTCGGATACGGGCTGAGCCCCAAAATTCTTGGCCCCGCACTCACAGGCGCAACCCCAACGAAAAGCCGGACGGAGTGTTCAAGAGTCTCTCCTGCACCCAGGCCCTGCGGGCCCAGCAGCCGCAGCCGCTCAAAATGCAGAGGGGGATCAAAGGTCCGATGGTTCCACCCGACAGAAGGCTGGACCTCCAGCGCCCACACCTGCGATAAAAGCTCTCGAACATCCAACGAATCTAACGTCAACACATGGCGCTAGTATGTAGGGAATTGCACAACAAAGACCACTGACAGTCACGACAGCCCAGGAAGTGCTCTAGCCCTTGTTGCAGGGAGGGCGGCATCATGCATGTTGGAGCGAAAACGGATTGAGCATCAGAGATTGATAACTTTGACACCTATTTCGCCCCACGATCGTGGACGGCTTCAGACTGTGGAGCTCTGCAAAGGTGGGATCTCACGTGGCTCTCAACGAACCTTGTGACACTTCCTGGCAGCTTCAATCCAGCATTGCTCGACGGAGCTTGTATGGAATCATGAGGAAGCGGACTTCGCCCCTACTCCCTCACCGCGCCGTCTGCCAGTCCGAAGTAAAGCCGGGCATGACCTTGTCAGAGGGAAACGGTTCGGTACTTTAGGGACAGCCGAGGGCTTCTGCTGGATGTTAGATCTATCATGTGGTCGGTCGGGCAAGTGGCTGCTTTGCCGTGTGCTGCGGGGAAGCAGAGAACATCAATCAGGACGTAAAACCCACGACAAAGCCTAAGCCCCGCACTCGTCTTGGAAGGGTGATGTTACAGTCGCCTTGGCCACAGGGTCTGGCAGAGGAAATGCTATTGGCAGCCACAGACATGACGAACCACAGCAGTCAATGCCAGCGAATTTCGGTAACAGTAACAGTAGGCGAGCTACCAACAGTAGTTTGGCACCTAAGCGACAGGTAGCACACACCTGCATGCATGCATACGTATATACATCCAAACCATAACTTACCACACGCTGCCTTATATTACATTGCATTGCAGAACATTGCACTGCATTACATTACAGTACATCACGGGACGTTACGTTACGTTACATTACATTACATTGCAGTACAGTACATTGCATTACACTACATTACGTACACACACATAAACGCATACCCACTCATGCACCCATATGCATTGTGTACATAGACCTGAGACTTGAGATGACTATGCTTATAGCCACAGCAACAGTACAGAAAGCACTAAATACCCACTACGTAGCAACGATAGTCGTCATGGCAACAGACAGCAGATGAGAGAGGCTCTAACAACTCGCCATTTCGGTCGGCGACGGGTGCGAGGAAACTTCTTGATAAGGAGGTCCTGACCGACAAGGACCCTACCCGTATGGCCCTATGGCTTTCAATGATGATGTCGACTCAGACATTGTAATGGGCAGACATGACTTTACACACGCTGCCTGTCCTGAACCCGTTACTATCCAATGACAGCCGCTACCCCAGTTTTCGCCAAGGCCCTTGAGCGCAAAGGGCCCCAAGCGTACCGTTACACATGATTTCGGATGTACAAGAGACTCACCTGTCCGTTTGAGGATGATGTCGCCCTGAAAACTGGGGAATCTGTGGCCTCGAGCCTGTCAAGCACTTGAATCCCAGGTTGTAGCATTCCATGTTTAGGGGGTCGGAGCTCCTCAAGTGCCAGGGAAGCGTTTCCCAGCTGCAATGAATGACTTGAGGCGAAGTTGGGGGGCTTCAAATTTGGGAGCTTGCTTCTTTCTTCGCAGGAGAGCTCGAAGTTTCACTGACATCTGAGTCCGGTGCTTCCATTGCTCTGGTTGCTGCTGTTGCTGTCGTTTGCCTCGTCGCAGCCACGGAAGTCTTCCGGCTCCTCGGGTTCCTTCCCAAGGGGACAGCAACAAATAAGCAGTTCTCCCAGGCCAAAGTACATATACATAACAAGTCATGCTAATATATGGATACCGGAAACAACAACGACTCAATTTAGAAAGCCATATGTGTAACTTGTTGATCACTGCACAAGTTGTAAGACGCCGCACTTCAAAGTGGCAGCTCCAAAGAAGGGCTTTCCATAGGGGTCGTGGGCGTCCCACTTTCGCGGCCTCTGGAGTGTAGTTGCCATCCATGACATCAAAAAAGCCTGGCCGATCACCGCTCGCTGCGGATCTGGTACTTTAATTTTAAGTTGCAGCTTCGCATTGCTTCTTGGTATTTGTAAGCATGTCAGTCTCGGCCCTACAGGACACGCCCTCGACACATTGAGCCCTAAACCACTGATGTGTGAGCAATGTTGAACCTACCAAGTTCAAGTCGAACCGCAGGCTTTGGTCCTCGAAGAAACCCTTCGATTTCGCATCAGAGTGCCGTCTAGGCTCTGTTCTATACAGGATACGGATGCTTACCCCACCTGTCTGGAAAGCGCTGCCGACGAGGTCCATGCGGAGAGATGCCTCAAGAGTCTGAGGTCGAGCTTCGGCTTTGGGTCCCTGGCCTTGGAGGGCCTCAGTGAAGCCCAAGTTCAGTGTGCTCTGCGAGTCACTTCATGACAGGAAAGCTTGTCACAGGACTCGATCTCTACGCAGCTTGAGACTTCAGGACCTCCGGCGCCTTGCCTCTGGCGGCGCGTAGAACGCGAGGCTGGAGAGAATGATCAGCCTAACCGATCAATGATTGGGATAGCTTCGCATTAGGAATGCAGGGTAAAGGCATCTTTCAGGTGCAGGCCTGCTAAGCCCTGTTCCTTGGAGCTCGTTCGCTCTCATAGGGACACAGGCGGGTTGAGGGTGTCCAGGGCCCAGCTGTATATGCTAGCACAACAGCAGGAAGCACCAGCCATAGGACGTGGTCCGGAGAGGCAGAGCAATAGGCTTGGAGTCAAGACTGATGCATGAAACCACGGCGATGAACCCAGGAGTACCCTAAATACACCTCCATACTGTTTATTCTAGAAGCCGAGAGAATTGTTGCTGCATGCATGTCGCAGTGCATGAAGCAGTGCAGAAGCCCGAGTCAGCAGATAGGCATTTGATTCTGCTTCTCTCTGGAATCTGGAAGAGGTCGGAGATATCAACCTGGAGACTGAGTTCTCGGCGCTTCAGGACCAGCATCGAACTCAATGCCGCAAGCGTCCATCCCACTGAGAACCACGTCCTCGAAGTTCAGAGCAACCGAGGAAATCTCACTCAGTCTGCTTCGTTACCCCTCGTAAAGTGGTTGCGTGATTAAGAAGCACTTGATGACGTTGTGGTGATTCGGTGTTAAGGCTTCCGAAGATTCGTCGCTCTTGTCCGATGACCATCTCATGCCTGACCATCTCATCCATAACTTTCAACCTCAGCCTGCGTCCCAGTCCTCGTCGACGGCTCCATCCTTGACAGGTGTAAGTCATGGTGTTCCCCCTGGAAAGACAGCCCCCTCCACTTCATGGCGGCAAGATAAGGGGTCCAAGCAAGAGAAAACTGTTTTGAATGGACTTGGACATGCAATGCCCGTTGCTTCGACTCATGCTGAGCTGGGCTTTGATGGGCATACATGAACCAGCACGGCTATCCCAAACCAAAACAACACAATCCAGCAGCTAGATGCAGGAAGTCAGCCAAGGTAAATCCACCGCCTCAAGTCGGTTTTGCTACGAGTTCTGTCAGGAGCAGCATAAGATGTATAGTATAGTAGAATACCGAGAAGGAGAAACGGCGTCCCAGGGCGCACAAAAACCATCATGCTATCTGTCTCGAGCTTACTCGGAACTTTGGCCGGGTGTCCACGGCCCGACGAAGCTCCTCTGGCCTGCATTGCTGCAGGGCAATGGTCTTCTGAATTTCGCAACCACAGGAATCCTGGTCCGACTAAACCCAGCGGGGTGGTCCTCAACTGGAACGGAGATCCATAAACCCTTTCTGTACGCACTATATGCGCTCTTCACGAGCAGGGGGATCGGCCCTTCGGTCTTCCTTCGAGGGATCAACACTCTCTAAGGGGAGGACCATCTGGAGCAAAATCGGAGACGTTAGGTCCAGCCTGAAAGGCCAACCAGACACGCCCAATTGCAGTCCGAAATAGGGCCGGAGATCCTGGAACAGGCTCCATGCAAATTCTGGCAGGTCTTGGTGAACTTTGCCCTCTATTCTCGAAGCACCTTCTCTAATGTAAGTGTGACACTAATACACAGGGTGACAATCAAAATATTCCCTGGCCCAGACTTTCCTGGCGGAAGACTACTTTAGATTGCGCACCCAGATCAGCCCAGATTCGGCCAAAAAATTGATTTTGGGATTCCGGTGATATTTATAAAGGGGTGACAATTACAATATTCCGGACACCGAATCCCAAAAAATTTTAAGGCCTGACTTAAGGCAAAGATCATTTTAGAAAAAGGAAAGGGAAGCCTAGACTAAGACCCAGCTGGCAGAGTGCAGTTTTTCAGACGTCTCACTGAACTACCAGCTCGCAGAGTGCAGCTCCAAAGACTTTTCACTCCACCCTTCGGCAAGCAGAGCAAATCCGATAAAAGCTCCAAGCTTTCGAGAGCTGCAAGCTTTCGCATGAAGCCAGGGACTCCGGATTCCTGTAACTGCAGCAGCTAGTCTTGAGGCCTTTGGCTAGTTAGAACCCTTTCTAAACGGAGCCATTTCACAAAGCCGGCAAGGGCATCGCTTGCGAGCCCCCCTGATCGCAATAATAAATGGGTGACAATAATATACTCCTGCGGGGCGGGGGGGTCCCAGAAGCAAGGCTTTCTTCAGAAGGCTATTTGGAAAGCAAGAAGCAATGGGCCTCAAGCCAAAGGCTTTGGTATTCGAGAGCTGCAGGTTGTGGCATGAAGCCAAGGACGCTGGATTAGAGGAACTGCAGCAGCTATTCTTGGGGCCTCTGCGTGATTACTACTACACCAAAGCTGCCAATACTTCTATTAGTGCTAGTACGGACCCCGGACCCCGCGAGAAGTGTATTATTGCCACCCCCCAAAAAAAAAACAAAAAATGACCCCAAGAGACCCTCGACAAAGCAACCTTGGGGGGGTATATTTATTAAAACCCCAACATTGAAGCGCGAACGAAAGGAAGTGAACTTGATTTCACCAGTGTCCTGAAGCGGAAGCTCTTCAAGCACTTCATGGCCGTCAGTCAGCAGCAGGGGTGTTCGGCCTCGGAGATGTTCAACTACCATTGGCTCCGTGGGTGGGTCCTGTTCCCGCGCGTGTTGATTCTGGTGGTGGCTTTCATGCGAAAAAGTCTGAGCTTGAAGGCAAACCCCTGCGCCTTCCAGGGCTTTCCTGTGATTTCTGTGATGCTCTGCTCTTCCGGGCTAAGGTTTCAGCTTTTGAATGCTTCTTCCGCACATACCCAGAATCGAGAAAATGTGCCCTTCCGGGATCGAATTTTCAAGAGGCTAAATCCTAAACCTACGCCAAGGCACACCTGACCTCCGAGTGGTTGGAGTGCAGGACTTCCTCGGCAGAAGCGTGTCAGACATCGCACTTAGTCACACTCGAAACCGATGTGCAAGAGACTACCTGGCTTAGACACGTCCCGAATGCAACCTGAGCGTTCTATGTGTTGTGATTCTCAGGCTATACGTGGTGTCATAGCGGCTTAGGG